TTTTTTTTTTTTTTGTCTTTTTTCCGTGTCCGGCAACGGATCGCAACCCTCAGTGTTGCCCCCGTACCGGACCGGGGACCGGCAACGGGACCGCAACCCTCGGTGTTGCCCCCGCGCCTCGCTCAGCCAGTGAGCGGGAACCGGTCTGTATGTGGGATCCGAACCCTCGGGTGGGAGCGCCACCGCGCTTCCCAAGCGGCGCACTATCCAGTGCGCCACCAGGCCGGCCCCAGGAAAAATTTATTTTAGAGATACAGAATTCTGGCTCTTTATAACCCAATAAGAAATGAGAAAGCAATGTATGTATATCATATATAACTTTTTACGCCATAAAATTCAATATTGTCTGTCTCTTCAAACTTCAGTTTTAGCACTGTGGAAAACTATTTGATAAATCTGTTGCCTTAGATGTGGTTTCAGGTTTTGTTTTATATCTCATAGGCTTCATGCTTGCAGGTTAGGGGAGGTTGTAAGAGAATACAGCACTAAAGCAAATCTAGCCTTAAGACCTATCCAACAGCAGATCATTAAATCATATATCCTTTTAATAGTAACTTTACCTTGGAGTCTTCATATTCACATGTAAAATTCTATGCATCATGTTCAAAATTTTGGTTTGGATTTGAAAATGCATATAGGTTTTATAACTTGTTTCATCTTCCTTATTTTTGCTGTCTTTGAATTTCTTTATTGCTTTTTATTTACCTGGCCTCATTATACCCATTATTTTCTTTTTATATTATATTCTTTACACTACTTTCTTTTGTTAAGAAACAACAGTTTCTGGATCAGCCTTCCATTCAATAGTTTACACACTGAGAAACAAGACCAAGAAATGATTTGCTCCATCCAACAACATCTGTGCCTGTACTTTTCAAGTATACGAATACCCACTTGCTCTCATGGGAAACACTGTGACCATCTCCATCACTCACACAAGCCATAATTCCATGTTCATTTCCAAAATGGATGCATATAATAAGACTGTTCGGCCACCTGGGCCAGACCTACATTATACCTTGTGACAAAATATATTTCATGGGTCATGTCTCATAAATGTAGTTTCACTGTAGACAGCAGATAGTGAGTAAATCTACCCTTTTTTATGGCAAGGAGCCCAATTCATATTTTTACTGGCTTACTACTGACTAAATTAAGCCCCAATTTTGAAAAGAAAAAAAAAAAAAAAACATGGTGAGCCAAAAACAAATAGCCACTTCAATATGGCTGCCAAGGATAGCTCTAAAAGAGAACTAATGCATTTCAGTATCAATCTCAATAGACCTAAGAAGTCCATAGAAAAATTAATGTACCAAATAAAACTTAGCTTACTACTAAGCATTATTTATTTGGTATTAAAGAGAAAAGTTTTAGGGGCCGGCCTGGTGGCGCACTGCGCTAGTGCGCCGCTTGGGAAGCGCGGCAGCGCCCCCGCCAAGGGTTCGGATCCCACATACAGACCGGTTCCCGCTCACTGGCTGAGCGAGGCGCGGGGGCAACACCGAGGGTTGCGATCCCATTGCCGGTCCCGGTCCGGTACGGGGGCGACACTGAGGGTTGCGATCCGTTGCCGGACACGGAAAAAAGACAAAAAAAAAAAAAAAGAGAGAGAGAGAAAAGTTTTATAAACTGAAAATCTAACATTGTTAAAGTGTCATTTAGAACAGCAACAACAAAGCCCTACACATCAGCTCCTCAATGTGAAGTTCTTTTGTAAACTTACCCAAGTCTTCCTAGCATCTCAAGCTCAGGAACTTGTGGTCCACATGTCTCTATTTGCAGTGGTTGGTATTCATATAAAGCTTCTTCAAGCTTGTGAATAGGTGCTAATGAAATATGTTGACCCTGTTAGAAAAATAACAGAAATTAATACCTTTTAATATTACTTTCATATTGCTACTTATTTGCAGTCATATTAAAGATGGACTGAATTCTTCACATTAAAAATATTATCTATTAGGTATGCTGCTCCATGGGTACAATGCATTACATTACTGAAACCCACATTATAGACTTGACATATAGTCACTGACACATGATTTAAAAGAGGAAATCCAAATCCATCATTAAATTCAAATTTCACCCTTAACAGTACAATTGTTCAACAACAGAAGTCAGGAAATCCATTCTCACATTTTCCCACTTTTATTAAATAGCTTTGACATTTTGGTAATCAGTGCTTTCTTGAAAGCCGTAATTAAGGAAGAAAGCTAATAAGATTATTTTCTGTAAAGCTTTACCACATAAATGTCTATTTTCTTAAGTTTTTACAACAGAATTAAACTTACCAAGTGTTTATTTATTTCATATCACACACACATATACACACACAAAATAAGAAAACTTTATGCTAAGAACTACATTGAATGAAAACATTCAGGTATTTTTCTGAAAAAAATAACTACTGAATAACTAAAATAAAAGGACATAAGGACCATACGTGAGCATAAGTATATAAAATAAAATGTCAGTCAGCCATATTAACACCATTATATTGAGATTTACATATTTATCATACATCCTGGCATAGAATTCTAATTTATAAAAGTCCCTATTTTTTATTTAGTCCATGTTTTCTTATTCTAGTTCAGTTATTTTTCTTGGTATAGTTCTCAGTTTCTCTAGTTCATAACTTTTTATAGATCATTCTTGCACTTATTAATTTTACCATTTTCTAGTTTATAATTTTTTTCTGTTGTTACCTCCCTTACTTTCCTTTTCCCCCCTTAATTACTAAGTTGGATGCATAGTATCCATGTTATCTCTTTTATTTAAAAAAAGAAAAGAAAAAGCCATGACTTAATATTGATAAAATGAAATCATAGCAGTGAGGAACAACCATTAGAAGATGCTTGCACTTGATTCATGGATTTTCTCTTCAACAAGTTCAATCCCATGTAGCATCATCCTACCTGGTTTACAGTCATATTAATGGCATCTGTGACACTATGATCTCAAAAGTCCTTCACCAAAAACAGGCAAAGGACTTGAACAGATATTTCTCCAAAGAACATACACACATGGCCAAGAAGCACATGAAAATATGACTCAACATCATTAGTCATTAGAGAAATGCAAATCAAAACCACAAAGAGGGCTGGCTGATTAGTTCAGTTGGTTAGAGCACCGCCCTGTAACACCAAGGTCAATGGTTCAGATCCCCGCACTTGCCAGCCACCAAAAGAAAAAATACATATTTTTAAAACCAAGAAGAGATATATACCACTTCATATCCATGGCTATTTAAGATAGCTCTTTTTAAAAAAAGAAAAGACAAGAATAAGTGTTGGTGAAGATGTAGAAAAGTTGAAACCCTTGTGCACTACAGGTGATAAAATGGTACAGCTGCTATGGAAACGGTATGGCAAATCCTCAATTAAAAACAGAATTACCATATGATTCAGGAATTCCACTTCTGGGTATATGCCCAAAAGAAGTGAAAGAAGGGTCTCAAAGAGATATTTGTACACCCATGCATTTTATTTATTTTAATGTTTCATAGAAACATTATTAACAATATCCAAAAGGTGGATGAAACACAGTATCCATCAAGGGATAAATGAATAAACAAAATGTGGTATACACAGACAGTGGAATATTATTCAGCCTTAAAAAGGGAAAAACTTCTGATATATAAAACCGTGAATTAACCTGAAGACATCATACTAAGTGAAATAAGCCAATCATGAAAAGACAAAAATTGCATGATCCCACTTATATGAGGTTCCTAAAGTAGTGATTCATAAAGACAGAAAGTAGAATGGTGGTTCATGTGTACAGAGTTTCAGTTGAGGAAGATTAAAAAGTTCTAGAGATGATTGGTGGTGATGGATGAACAACAATATACATGTAATCAATGTCATAGGAGTGTACATTTTGAAATGGTTAAAATGTTAAGTTTTTATGTTACATGTATCTTACCACAATTTTTAAAAATGGGGTTTGGACGTTCTGATTTCCTCATTTGCCTGCCTGACATAATACACAGGAAAAAGAGAATAAAAGTGTAATATCTGGAAACTTGGTTGATATTATTTTAAGCCTTAACCTTCATATGTTTTACAGCCTTCCTAAATAAACATGAAGCTGTCAAGCTTAAATCTTAGACTATCACACAGTAATCCAATTTCTGACCAATGATTCTAAGTAGAGAGCATTACTTAGGTTAAGAAGAAGTCTGCCTAAGCGGGATATTTTGAGTGTCATTCTGACATCCTTGTTTCAAAGCATCTTCTTAATAAGCTCCCAAGCACTAAATTTTCCTGCCATATGGCACAAAAAATCCAGTGTTAGTGTCACATGTTTAAGCTATCAGTGGAAGGGAAGGAGGAAGGAGAAAACACTGCAGCAATTAAAGAAGCACACCTATCCCACTAGCACCCATTTTCACTTTAAAACTTAGAGAGCAAGGTCCAGAAAGAATGACACACAGTGGGTATTTCCAAGAGCTGGAATACTTCCCAGGGACAATCATATTCAAGAAAGGCAAGCTTTCTTAAGTCATTGCAGTGATAAACAATATACTAAAAGTAATCACTCCAAACAACACCAAAGTTACTAAAGTTATGATATCACTTAATTCAAAATCTTCTCTGAAGTTAGTGGGGACTATAAAAGTTCATCTAATAATACAATGCTGCTTCAAAAAGCTTATGGAAAAATTGTATTACCTTTTAATGCTATTTTTCCATGACCTTTTTGAAGTAATAGTTAACATTATTTACTCTGTGCCAGACACTATTCCAAGGGCTTTTTAAAATGTATTGTCTCAGTATTCACAGTAAGTTTATGAGGTAAGTACTATTATCTCTACTTTATGGATGAGAACCAGGGGATTAAATAGATCTGCAACATAACCAGCACCTTTTTAGACAAGCCCAAGTACAAAATGGTGCTGTCTACCTCTTCCCCTCCCCTCCCCCATTCTCTTTTACAAGAAGCCTCATGGTTTTGGAGAAAATGAAACTTTCAGCATTTCCACATGTGTAGAACTCTCCATTCCCATGACCTAACTCAATCCCCACCCCAGAATTACATCAGCCAGCTCTTGGTACCAACATACTAATATAAGCTCCCACTGCCCTATGTTAGCTGCTGTCCCCCATTTTCAGGGCAACCCCAGACCATCCTCCATTTTGAGTACAGCCGGCAAATTTCTTTCTTTAATAAAGCTTGAACAGTACCGGCATCTCGGCTCACTTTCTTTCAGGGATAGACATGTGACTGATCAAGGTCATGTTGTAGTTAATGACAGGTTGAAGATTAGAAGCCAAGTCTGTCAGATTCTAAAGATTTTCTTTTTTTTTTACCCAACTCTCTTATTTTATGGATATGGAAACTAACACTCCCAAAATGTAAATTTTCATAAAGTTACATAGAGTCAGAATCTAATTCTTGTCCAGCATAAGGTCTACCACACCACGCTGCATTTTAAAATCCTATTTTTAGACAATATAATCATGATTGCTCAATTTAAAAGTTTAATGTCAAGAAAAATCCTAGATGATTTAAACCAAATTTTTATACAAATTCTAATAGTTCAGATACATAAAACACCATAGGCTCAAAAAAAGAGTATTAAAAAATTATAACATTTAGAGAGAAATAATCATTACTCAGTAGCAATTCTGGTTATGGTAAGAATGATAAAACAAAGTTCACAGACACACAAACATTCAATCTACTTCTAACATTCAATCTACTAGTATCTTCACCACCCCTCACCCACCAAAACACTAGTGTAAGATACATGCCAAATTTCTCATATTTAAAGCTGGGAAAGAACTTAGAGAACAATAACTTACACTCATTGACATAACTAAGATTTTTTTTTAAAGAATCACCAACAGATCAGATAATGTCTTAACAAGTCACATTAGGAATATGGTGGGGGTTTTAAGTGACAGGAGGCAAAAGGGTGTTTAAAAGTTTTATAGATGCAAAATGGTTATTGAATGTAATACTTCCAGTAAAACAGTGTAATATTAAGTGTAATATTATTCTAAATTATAAGAAAATGGAGGATTCAGATTAAGGGAGTCAATGTGTATAATGCACTAGTGATATAACACATTTGAGAGTTAAATTTGGCTGGGTGCCAAATAGTACAGTACAGGTTGAGCATCCCTAACCTGAAAACCTGAAATCTGAAATGTTTCAAAATCTGAAACTTTTTGAGCACCACGTGATGCCACAAGTGGGAAATTCCACACCTCTGGTCCCAAGCTTTTCCAATAGGAGATACTCAACCTGTAATAGTGAAAATGAAGATGATGATGTTAACACTGAAGAAAAAAGTGCCTAAAGACAACATGATGGCCTTATTGAAGGACTAGAGCAGCATGCATTCAAAACAGAACAAGAAATGATGTAAATTTATAAAAATCAAAGGCCACTGTTAATGAGGCAGATGACTCTAGAGGAAACATTTTAAAAACCCATGCATCAGAATGCCTCCTCATCCCTAGAGGACCCTTTTCCTCATCCCTCAACGGCTTCTGATGTTTCTTTTCAATAAAAAAAAAAAAAAAAAAAAAAAAAAAAAGGACATAGCATCATAGGTGGAAACTGAAAGCCTGCTTTTTGTTGCTGTTGTTGTTTAACAGCTGATACAAGTATTCTGGTGATGGTACTGTGCCACTTAGTTACCCTAAGCATATTATTTTTTTCACTGTAATAATGGTATGTCATATTTTTTACTGTTACATATTTAAGTGTAATAAAAATGATTGCTTACTGATAGCATATCAATTCAGAGTCAGGAATAACAGTGATGCCAGATAACCACAGACTGTCCACACTTTTGCTCTCTGGTGGTGCAGTGTACACAAATTTTGTTTCATGCA